ATATGAATGAAAATTTAATTTTTTTTTTGTAATTTTTTATTTATGTAAATTAAGTAATCAACTAATTAACTTAACTAAATATTTGCAAGATGAAGACTATATAAAGAAAATATCTTTTTCCTTATCATGAATCAGTAATATGTATAAAAATTCTGTTGTTGAAGTATGCTAAATGTGTTATGTCAAATATGAGCAATAATATTCTTTATCCTTACTAGAGATGCTATAAAGAACATTGACTAATCTATAGTTTGAATAGTCTTGAAAACTGGTTAGGTAGGGAAGATACTAGCTCTCACTCTAGAGTTCCATCTTCTCCCTCCACCTGGAAGCTAACATCTCGTATCAAAACCTAAAATTATAAATCAAATGGGGACGTTAACATGTCACTCTAAAGTCCTCTAATTCTACACACTTGAAAAGTTTATTTCCCTATTTATTTGCCTATTTATTTGCACTCTATTTGCACTCAACCCCATGAACTACATTCTCATTCATGAAATTAATATGTGATTCTAACCATTTGTTGACTGAGGTAATGCCATCTCGGATCCTACATGTTCTCAAAACAGATATTAACATCTTAATTGTCCAAATCAAGAAGAAAATGAAATGCAAGGTTTCAAATCATCATAACTTCTTCTAACATTGAAGTCTAATACTTCACACAACATCCTTTAAACACTTAATCACTTATTATTTTAAGAAGAAAGATTAAAAAAAAACTACTTAGAATCCATTGAGAAATCACAACCACACATGAGTTTAAAAGTAGATTCCATGCATACAAAAAAGAAATCCAGATTAAAACCAAGTGTAGTCACAAAGATAAACACTTATATCAAACCCTCTCCACCAAATGTCTTGAAGTTCCTTTGAATTTCTCATCCTTAGATCACAATACAAATTAACACTCAAAATAAAAAGAAAGTGGTCGGCGGCAGCAGCAACGTTTACTTGGATGGATGATGACTGTAAAATCTGATGTGTGGTTGGCCTCTTCTCTTGATGATTCTAAGTATTCTTTAATAAAAATTCAAAAGGTGTCTTGGTGTCCCTTTAAAATATGTCTACATTCAATGAATCTTTTAGAAATTGCATCCTCAAAAACCAATTGAATGAATTTTCATGTCCATGAGATATTTCTCATATTTTTACCAATGGTTGTTTCAAACATCTCTTCAAAAATTCGTCTAAATTCAATGAATCATCAAATAATTACTTTTGACGCTTAAGTGCGGGGTACCTGGCGCTTAGGCGCGACCCTTTAGCGTGTATGCATCAGTCCAGGGCGCTTAGGTGCCCTAGTTCATTTTTGCATTTTTGTTTCAAATTTGACCATTTTTCACTCATTTTAGCATTTTTCATCCATTTGATTGTACCTGAAAGAAAAATACACAAATATATTTCATTAAAACGCAATATCTCAAAAATATGTATAAAAATGTGTATAAAAACACTATATATTTTAGGTATATCAAACGTCTCTTATAAAAAATTGGTTAAGAAAAGCTAAATGCCAATAATTATTTGAATTGTATGATATCTACTCAAATGAATTACCCGAGTCACCTGAGATTTGTTGTCGATCAAAGCTTAGTCCGACCGTCGCTTCTAGGAACACGCGTGTAACTTGGAAGCGTCGGGCTCTCGTCCCAACTATAGAGTCTCTCAATTTAATGAAATAATTAGTATATATTTAATTTACAATAAGATTTAATGCATAAATTAACTCTTATCAGTCTCTTTATATACTTCATATGTGGGAGCGCACCACCAGTATGTTTGAATGCCCCCATGTCTCTACAGTCAAAGTGTGAATTATGTTTAACTTGCTCTTCTTCCTTCGATAATCTGGGCAATCGTAGGCTTTGAGTAGCGAGCCAAATACTCACCTAGCCACAAAAATCAGTAATAAGGAAAGGAAAATTAATTGCTGCACATAACTCTAAACGAAAGCACGATAATAATATTAAGTGCACTCTACAAACTACTGAAACTCTAAACACAAAACCGTGTAGTAAACAAAAGATGAAATTTATGTATGCTCCATAGGCTCAAGCCGATAATTACTGATACTAATGCTCGACGCCTCTCGATCCACAACAACGACATGATCCTCCACCGAATTAGACAGAGCTGCAATTGTAGCTGGTGATAGTGCTAGTATGGTAAGGATAGGGCTTTTGAACATCTTTTTTGTAGGAGCGTTGCACCAACATTCTATGTTATAGCTAAGCTTTTCAAATGTCGATTAACAAATTGGTAAAACAACTAAATGTTGGTGTCACACTCCTAAAAAAGATGTTTGGCACTAAACATACGTCATTGCAATTATTTAAATATAAAGAGTATGAATACTATAAAACAAAATATTAAGTTTCTCGCATTTCACTCTCTTCATCAAAATCCTTAACCGAGCCACTTAAAAATTGGCGAACATATACAATATTTTTTGGGGCATTTCATACATAGCATATAATTCTTATATATTTACATATCTCATATCTAAATTTTTATATTTACACACATAGCGTTTCAATCTTTAATATCCCCACAAAAATAATAATATTATCACTTTTTAAAACTAGAATACATCTTTTAATGCATAGATTTAAAAGCAACAATGCTATGTATGTAAATATGGAAGTTTATATGTGATATATATGTAAATACATAAGAATTGTGAGATACATATGTAAATTTCCCTTGAAATTAAGTTGTTAAAAAAAGGTAAAGACATAAGAATGAATTCATAAGCATGTTGCAATCATAGAAATTATGAAAAACATACAAAACCTAATAAAAATTTTTGAATTTCTCAAAAACAAATGATCTAAAAATGAAAAAAAAAAACTAATGGTTCAAATTAAATAAAACTTTAGAGGAAGGATTGAATCGAAATTACCTTCGATTTGATTGTAAGAAATCAAGAAATGATACAATGTAGAAAAAAAATGGGATCAAAGTAGGTGAACATGAGTTTCAGAGCTCAAGTGCGCGCGGGAGATTTAAATGAAGAATTTCGGCGTTGGTTCACAATGTTAAGCTTTTCCAACGGATTACTAACGATATTAAGAGTCGTGATTATTAATAACTTAATAGCCTACGATTCAACCATTCATTAATATCGAAAAGTCGTTAGTTTATAATCTAAAAAAATCAATGTGTTCAATTTCTGATGAATTGAGTTTATCAGTTTATAATTCGATAAGAACAAATGAGTTGGGGGACTGGTTTAGCCTTAATAATCGTTGAAAATGTTTTTTACTAGAAAGCTACGCCTTATTTTATTGGACATCCGTCGGAATGGATTCTATCAATGTACTGTCACTAAGCTGTCGGAAATCATTTGAAAATTTTTGATGCAATATAGGTCGTTGGTTTTATCATTGGTTTTAGCTTTTTTTCCTGTAGTGTCTCGTTCCATGATGGTTAACAGTGGTTGCAGTTGCCAGAATTTTGGTATGTTGTCTTTGCTGTGTGTGTCATCTTTGCAGTGTGTCAATACGTAGTGTTTAGGATACACACTACTTCGTATATTGATGTCGCACTGCTCTGTGACATTTGCTGCTACTTCACATGGCGCTTCATTACTCCACAGTGTTGGTTGCAACTCTGCACAACACTTCGTTACTCCACAATGTCAACAAGGCGCTTCATTGCAGCCAGCAATGCCAGCCGACGATAATTGAAAGCGGTCGGCGAGTGGTGGTCGACAATGGACGATCACGACAGGAGCGGGAAGCGTTTGCTGGAGCTTCGATGCAAAACACTGGATTTTAGCTCATTTTCTCTTCGATCCTCCTTCAAGCTCAAGTTTTAGTCACAAGATACAAATATATGGTCACAATCATGATAATTTTTATTTGTAAATTGATAAAAAACTAATATTTGCAATTTATTAAAAAAGTATGGGTATTTTAATCTTTTATATGAAAAAGTTAAAAAGCTAATAACTCTTTCAAATAAGTAACAATAGACATTTTGGTCTAGTAAAACACAGAAAAATCATTTTTACTCAAACGATAATTTTAACTTCATCAACAACTATTTTTACTAAAGTAATTTTAAAAATTTTTTTAAACAAAAGCTTAACCAAACAAGGCCAAATCTAATTTTTACCCCATTAGTTTAATAACTTTTTAATTAATAATTAATGAATATTAAAAATAAAGATTTATTATTAATATTTTCAAGAGAATTTTAAATAATGATTAACTAGTTTAATAAATAACTAATTAATAATAATATAATTTTAAAATAAAAAAAATTATATAAAATTTGTTTTATAAAGTAAACTAATTTAAGCATTAGTAATTATATTAAGATTTTATTCGAACTAACAATTTAAATCTTAAAATCATTTATCAAATAGTCTATTAAAATTTAGTCAAATTTAATTTCTCTCATATTAAAATAATTTTAAAAATTCAACAACTTTAAAATTTGTTAAATTTAAATTTATAAATTTTATTGATTTTTTTTTTGAATTAAACTCCTAAAGTTAAATTTATATGAATATAAGTAGAGATAGTTATGGACATATTTACACGCAGGGTCTGTTTGGGGGCAGCTGATCCTTATTGAATAATCTACTGATAAGTTGATTAAAAATAATCTTTTGATAAGCTAGACGTAGTTACTATTGCAAATTTTTATTTTTTTGAAAAAGTCAGACCGCTGCCAAGAAGGAGCAGAGAAGGTGCAGCCGCGCCTAAATAGGTGCGGAGTGAAAAAAACTCCTTTCAACCTTTTTAAAAAATGCATAAGCTGTCAAAACACAGTTTATCCAAACAGTTTAGATGCTTTTCAAAAATGTCACCGTACTAAATAAACTGCCCCAAAGGAAACTGTAGCTTGATCAAATTATTAAAAAAATTAATAGAGATACAAAATACGATTTTATTTTGAATTTTGATATTAGAATTAAATTTTAAAAAGTAAATGAAATATTTTACTTCTAAATTTTATTATTTAATTTCATCCTCCCATTGGCTCACTCTCGTCCAACAGAAGCTAGCGTTGACGTCGAGAAAGTAACTCGTCGCCTCACCATGGCATTTATATCCGCTTTCCGCTCTCTACTCCGGCGCCGGGGAACTCCTGCGCCCTACCTCTCCTGCTATAGTAGGCCGCTCTGCACCGCGGCGCCTAGCGAGGAGAAGCTCAACGCTGCAAGCTATCATGTCTCCGGCGGCCCTTCCTTCATGCGCGGGACCGTTTTCTGGGAGCCCGGAAGACCGCTCACCATCGAGGAGTTCGAGATGCCTCGACCCAAGGCAGGGGAGCTTCTGATCAAGACCAAGGGTTCTGATCCCTTTCCCACTGTCTCCGTCTGTGATTACTCTGTTTTACTGAAATGTTTGATTTGAAATTTAGGTTCATTCTTTGGTTAAAATTGATCGATACTTGTTCAATGCAAAATCAATTTAATAAGCGTATAGAAGATGATGCCTTATTTCATCATGAATATGACTTATCTTAGGTATCTGAAGAATTTTTTATATTTTGTGTTTGGACACCTAAGTAATGGGTTTTGTCCCACATTAGAAGATTGAAAAAATATATTGTTGTAGATACATTGATTGTCTGGCTATAAACTATAACACAGTCCTTTAGGTTAAAGACAAGTTTAATCACTATGGTATTAGGCCTAATTTTAGCCCCCTTTTGGTCCACGTGCTTTACTACATGGTATCCAATTTAACTATTTGGCTCAGGTAAGTAATTCATTTGATTTGCAACTCCCATAGATCGTTGGTGCCTTGTATTATGATTGAATAGGGTTCAGGGTGAGTGAACATTGTCACATTTTCATGGAGTTGAGTGGGCTATTGGTTCAATATATTTGATGACCTTAAAAACATTATGTTTTAAGGGAAATGATGATCAATGTGTAGAGCACCCTCATGTTGGATATGTTGTTAAGGTTTTGATTGAGTTTACTAAGGTAATCAAGAGTGTTGAGTTTATCTCTACAACAAACAGTTAAAAAATATGTTGTTAAAATGCCAGTTAGTTAACCCCCTCCTTTATACATAAGCTTTTTGGTTAAAGCAAGTTTGTCCATTGGCGTATTGGGTCTAAATGTAATGCCCCTTTGGTCAACATAATGTATATGTTTTAGAAAAAATAGAAAGTACAGTCAAAACTATTTTCATTATTGGCTTTGTGTGCTTCTTTCAAATTTAAAATTTACATTTTCATCTATCAGCATAATTTTTTAATTTTTTACATTACAGTGCGATAAAACCTACAGTTGAACTGAATTAAGTATAGGGTGATCTTTTTGCTTTTGTATGAAATGTTATTTCAATCTTCTTACTTTTTTTTGAATGTGTAACTTCAACTAGGTTAGGTTTTATTTTAATTTTAATTTGTATTTATTTTATAAGTATCATTATGTTTTATTTTTAATTTTAAAATAAAAATTTGTAATTCATAAATCTATTCATAACCATCTAATATCTGTACCATATTTTTATAATTTAGCTTACAAGTACCTCCGTGTTAAATTAGCTGAGTATTTTAGTATCATAATATAGACAAAATGCATTACACTGAAGTCTTGGTTCTTTTTCATTGGAAAGCTACAATCTGTCTCTTTTCATTTTTTGTCATTGGAGTCTGATACTTCACTTATAATGTTTATGCAGCTTGTGGAGTTTGTCATTCTGATCTTCACGTCTTAAAAGGTGAACTTCCATTTTCAAGTCCTTGTGTTTTGGGTCATGAAATAACTGGAGAAGTAGTTGAACATGGTACCCACACAGATATTGTCACAACAAAAAGGTATTTGGATTTTGTTTTTGTATCAGTTTTTTTTTTTTTCACCTCACCCCATCATGAATTTTTTTATTTCTGGTTATGCCACGGTTAAATTCTTGTCTATTTTTTATTTTTGAGTCTACAGGTTTCCTATTGGAAGTCATGTAGTTGGAGCATTTATAATGCCTTGTGGAAATTGCTTCTTTTGTGTCAAAGTAGAGCCATTTGATCCTTATTCACTTACTTGTTTTTTCACCTTGCCATTTGTAGCTTCAAATTCTTTCCTTTGATCATTTATTCAAACAACTGATTAGATGATCTGTTTTATAGGGCCAGGAAGACCTATGCGAGTCTTTTTTTGCTTATAATCGAGCGAAAGGAACACTCTATGATGGCCAGACTCGGCTATTTCTGCGAAATAGTGGTATTTACCCTTGCACTAATTTTATTCGTGAAATTTTAAAAAATTTATAGCCTTCATTTTTAATTTATCAGTTGTGCTATCGAGGTAATTAGTAAAAATGAATAACTTGATATTCTAAAATTTTAATTTTTGAAATGTAAAGTAACACTACCATTTTGTGGTCGATCAAGTGGATCCCGCTGGTCTTAGTGTTCTCTAGATTGATGTAGATCATAAGTGGCTCGTACTTTCAGAGAGTAGCATGCATAAATTTTCAAAACACTCAGCTGATGTCAAAATATTTTTTAAACTTATTTATTAATAAAATCTAATCTGATCATTAAAATCACTATCACCACCTTTGGTCGAACTATTTTCATTGTTGATGTTGATATTTTATTTGGTCCTCAGATCAGTGTATTAAGAAAAAAAAGACCATTCTCTAAATGTATATGATGTGGGGCTTTTCTGGTTGAACCAGGCACTACCCTTGGAGGCTGTACTGTTTCAGCTGAGAGGGGACTAATAGGGCTGGCCGACCCTAGGAAATAGGGTTGCCGCCCGAATAGGAGGGTTTCTTACCTCTCTTAGCTATCTACCAGTATTTATTTGTGTTTTATGTGTTTATGGATCAATTTTCTTGTGTTTATGTCCGGACAATCGTCAGTGTCCCTCTATTTCCCTTCTACGGCTGTATCCGAAGGCTATGAGGTGCTCCGATTGTAACTCATATGTGGCGATGACTTTCACCGGTCGAGTAGTGCTCTGGCTGTAGCTCGCTCCCATGGGGATATCTATCCTAAACCTTTATTCTCCACACCTTTCCCTTCCCTCCCCGCCATCTTCCCCTGCACTTTCAGCTGACCATCCTTCCTTCCCTAGGCCACCACCCCTTCAAACTTCAGCTGCAACCTCGCTTCCTGCCGTTCAGCCCTCCGCCACATCCCTTACTACCAGCTGCTACCTCACAGTAGTCCCCACACATCCAGCCTTCACATACCACAAATGTAGCCCCTATCCCTTGCACCCCTACCCGCACCTTGTCCTCCACGGCCAGCAATCCTTTGACTATGGTTTCTTCCTGCTCCCCCCTGCTGCCATACATGCAGTCCCACCACAATCATCCTTCCCACTGCTCTTAACCCTTTCCTTCAACCACTGACAAACCCCGAACAACCACCTTCAAACCCCCCAAACCAACCACCACCCTTGGGTGCCGCTTTAGTTGTTATTGTTGTTGCATGATGTTGTTATTGTTGGTGTCTGATGTTGTTATTGTTGGTGTCTGATGTTGTTATTTCCCTTTCAATGGTGTCATTTGTAGCTGTCTATTCCCCTTCTAGTAATAATATTTATTTGTTTATTGGCTTTTTTTGGTTAACTCTGGTAAATTACATGATTTTCAGAATTTTCTCTTTTTTGCATAGAGTTCCATGACATTTTTTATTTGCTCAAATATAGCTCAACTCTTATCTAAATTTACTTCAATCATCTTCTATAATGCCCAAATTTAGAGAGGAGTGGGCACCATCCCATGCAGTCCTGCCTTGCTTGGTATCCTATTAAATCAAGCTCTTCTGCTACCATAAACAATTTCCTGATAGCGAAGCCAAAGAATTACTGAGACAATGAGATATACTGTTTAACCTCAGCTTTTGCTTAAAATCCTGTTATATCAGGACCTATTGAATCACGTTAAGTTCCCCATCCTTCTCTATGCATTCATCAACAAGTTCAAATGTTATGTCATTCATCTTCTTTTAGTTAGATTCCTAGCCCTATGTAGGGAGATCTTCCATCATCACTCATAATGAACTCTGATGGGATTCATCTTGATAAAGACGTAGATTTTGGTTAAGTTGAATGAATACTTTTGAGTGAACTCGTAATGTTTTCACTTAATTGGAACTTGTTAACCAACTTAATTGAAACTTATCATGTGCTTTTGTTTACTGGAACTTATCATGATTGATCTCTATTATCACATTTTAATTTTGAATGAGGTGATTAAGCAAGTAAGTAGGGTATAGAAACCCTAATGTTCATTCTATCCACATGCTTGATCTTCATTTTTTTTTCATTCTTGATATTTGATTCTGATGATGTATCTTCACCACACCTTCAAAGGTTTGCCACTTAGAGTTTAAATTATTGTGGCCTTCATAGGTACTATCTTTATTGAATTACCAGTAATAAAATGAGGCTGGTGGAGGGTTAATCTTTATTTTGTGAACCTAGACTTCTGCAAGGGAGTTAGTTTGAACACATTTAATGTTGCTTACCACTATTGGGGGAGTAACAATGCTTCAAGTAGGATATTTCATTCTTCAGCTTCATACTTTATGTATGTCCTTTCATATTATTTTTCATAATTGTGTTTGTGTTACAATTAGAATTATATTGTTATGACTTTGCATTTAAAAAAATTGCCATCTCCATATATCCTTTTTCTTGGCTTAACTCTTTAACAATAACCTCATCCTTCGTGGATTCTGCTAAGATGTATCAATCCAGGACCACAAATTAAACCTATCTACAAATATTTTTATGAGCAATTATTCAAAGAATTTACCACAATTTATATCCTTGCTAGAATTCAGGATTGGGAAAGGTTCATCACTAACTGCTTTCAATCCTGTATCATTGAGGCACCATGGAGAGCATTTACAACTATACTTCTCCGACGCACTTGTAACAACATCAAAGAGAATTTACTTTTCATCATGATATGTTGTACTTTTTGGATCGTTACTGAGCTTTCACTAATTCATATCCGATAATCTTCTTTTTTTGTTTTCTATGCCATCAACCTTTTTTTCCACAGTGAGTGGAGGTCCCCGTTTTCTATAGTATGGCTTGCCTTGTCATATGTTTCGATATCATGACTTGCCTTGTCATTCTGAGGGGAAATATTTGTGTACGTAAGACGAACGCAGCACTGCGTACGTCGGGAGGTTATTCAGACGGTATAAGGGGGTTATATCCGCGTTATACCCCATGTAACCTCCCTGTAACCTACCTGTAACCTACAAATAGTTCTGCCCTACAAATAAGTTCTGCGCTTCTGTAGTTCTGGTAGGTACAGGTAAGTTACAGAGAGTTACAAGGGATATTATGCGGATATAACCCCCCTGTACCCTCTGAATAACCTCCAACGTACGCAGCACTGCGTATGTCTTACGTACGCAAATATTTTCCCATTCTGAGACTGATTATATCCATCATTTCAAGCATTTTGAAACTGAGGCATTGGGAGCTGAACGTTCAATAGCTTGTCTATTGTCTATCAGACAAAAATCTTGTATAATATGTTCTTCAGTTCTGAGTTGGTGGCCAGAAAAGTGAGACATTATGGGAATCATGAGCGTTAATGTTCTAAATTTTCAAAGCAGCTTTACATAGTTAGCCAACTAGTCTTGAGAAGTATTCACATTCACGAAACTGTCAGAATATGCATTTAGAGTCTAAACGATTATTTCTTATATTGGAAATCATTATACCTTTTTAACGTGGAAAGCCTTTATGGTTTCTTATCCAATGCTAAATTAGGTGCAAGTTTAGAACATGCACTTTGAGCCTTACAGCAATAATTTAAGGGACTAATGCATTATATTTATGTTCTTTCTTTTTTATAATTTGTTTTAATTAAAAGTTGTTATACATGGAATTCGGGATCATGCTGTAAATATTATGTTTTTATGGAGCTCATGCTTATCGATTTCTTTTCAGGTGTCATTTGAAAACTGTAATGCACTACTTAGTAGCTGAAAGCAAGTTTTGTAGGCTGAAATTTGCAGATATTATGCTAAATTAGTGAACTGAAATTTCTTCCAGTGTTTTATAAAATTGCAATGAGAAATAAGCGGATATGGTCAGTATCTTGGTGGCCTATTCTGTATTAATTTATCTGTCGTTATTTACCCGAATGTTTTTGACTGGAATGGTTCATTATCTTCATTTTTATTTGAAGCTACGCATTAAGGCCTACAGACGTTTCTAGGATATTATGTTTACCTCAAAGTTGAACTTTTTTTTTTTTCCATTTTCCCTCATTTATTCAGGAAAGCCTGTGTACATGTACAGCATGGGTGGACTTGCTGAATACTGTGTCATTCCTGCCAATGCGGTGACTACTCTGCCAAACTCACTACCATATACTGAATCTGCTATCTTAGGCTGTGCAGTTTTTACTGCGTATGGAGCTTTAAGACATGCAGCTGAAATGCGCCCTGGTGATTCTATAGCAGTTATAGGAGTTGGTGGCATTGGTGCAAGGTGATTATTTGAACTTTGGACATTATGTCTATTAATGCAATTCGGGTGGTTAGAGGAATCATGCTGAAAGGCTGGATCTTGGTCAAATCATGTGGAAATATAGGAAGATTGCCCCCCTTATTAATTAGAGGCAATTTGGGAAACTCCTTGATTAATTTTATTCTCTTCCTATTTATATTTATTTTAGAATTATTTCATTTCCATGTTTAGGCTAGATATATTTGATAAGATTATAAATTAGGAGGGACCTGTTTCCCTATATATGTAAACTTACAGTTGAAGATTTGGAGTAAGAATTTGGAGTAAGAATTTGGAGAATTCCTTCGCTAGTTTTTCTTCATGGTATCAGAGCTCAAGGTTCGGCCTCGATGGGATAAGGGCGGCTTTCATTGTCCTTCTTTAGCTTCAACCACATTGCTCGGCTGCATCATCCACTCTTCTAGATCTCTCAACTGCTTTGGCCGCTCGGATAGCTCATTTACTTTGTCTGAATCGTCGTACAACTCTGTCTGAATCCTGTGGAAGCTCTCATCTATTGGCCCCTTATCCCTCCTCCACCGGCCTTCTCCTGCTATCCTTGCTGCAACCCTCATCTGCTGGACCTCCGCGGCTTCTCTTTCCTGCAGCTGTCAGTACCGGAGCCTCTCTCTCCAGCCTACAAGCCCTCCGTACAATTACTCATGTTTTCATACAACGCTTAGATCTGTCATTGCTCCAGTGCCCTGCTTTCCTATTAGCTACCCAAATGCTCCTTCCTTGACAAGCAGAGCAGCCGCAGATGGCAGCTAGCAGACATTCCTCACCTCATGCAACAAGCATCAGCCAGCAAAACCGTTGGATTCCTCCTATCCTGCAGCAAAAACATCTAGGAATCCTGCAAGTAGTAGCGACCAACAAGTAACAAGCATGAATTCTTTCCCGGCCTAAACGTGCATAGGGTTTATGATCAAATGTGGAATGAAAATGTCTAGCTCTACTCCGGATGTTAGTTTTGAATCAAAGACCAGGAAATATGTCCAAACAACCTTGAACTTTCTTCCTTTATCACAAATCATAAACTTAAGGAAAAGTCATTACTTCTATCAATGGTCCCAAGCCGTATTTATGTATATTTGTGAAAAAGGAAAAAAAGAACATCTCACGAGAACACGGTTCCTAAAGTCTTTGATCTTAACCATCGCACATGGAAGATTCAAGGCTATATGGTTATGCCTTGGCTAGTCAACTCAATGAACACTAAATTAGGAGAAATTTTTTTGCTCACAAAACAACCAAAAAAATCTGAGAGGTTGCAAAAGAAACTTATTCCAACACTGAGAATACTTCAAAATTGTTTGAGACTGAAACCAAACTACATGATCTTCGTCAAGGAGAGCTAAGTATCACTCAATATTTCAACATCTTTATAAACTATTGGCTTCAATTTAATATGTTTGAGTCATATGTGTGGAAATGTCCACATGAAAGCTCCGTGTTGTACTCCCATAATTCTTTCCATAACTCAAAGCTCACGAAGAAACGTTCCGCATGTAACTATTGGAAGAAAACTGGGCACCTTAAAGACAATGTTGAAAATTCCATGGAAAGTTTGTGGATCAGAAAGCTAGACTTGGTAGGAAAGATCAAGAGAGCAAGACTAATGCGGATGCAACATATGAAGCGTCGGTTGAACCATTCACTAAGGAACAACTTGAAGTACTAAAAAAAACTCTTTGGGAGCAATTCAGAATAACAAACCAGCCTCATTGCACCCCTAAGTAATATATCATTCTCACATTTTGCTAGCAATGAACACTTTAGACCTTGGATCATAGATTTAAGATGTTTTGATCACATGACTGGAGACATTAATGTTTTAGTCAACTATCGGGAGGCTTCTACATCTAGATCTGTCAGAATTGCAAATGAATCACACTAAAAAATTACTGAAAAAGAACATATAGAGCTCTCTTAGGACATTATGCTTTCCTTTGTTTTGAATGTTTCACAATTGTGTGGCAATTTAATTTTAATTAGTAAGTGTACTCATAATATGCAATTTATAATTGAATTCATTGCAAACTCTTCCAAATTTATGGTGGTGGATTCGGGAAAGGTGATTGACAGTGCTGAAATGTATCAAGGCTTATACCTGCTCAAAAAAAGTCTCTCTAAATAAAGAAGTGGTCCCACCTCTATTATTTCCCAAGTCTCTGTGTATGTTGAGTTTGTCTATTGAAAAATAAATTATGTTATGATATTGTCGCCTGAGTCATTCTAATTTCAGTTATGTTGCAAAGTTATATCCTTATTTGTTTATTGATAAAAAATCTAATATTTATCAATGTGAGATTTGTCAACTTGTCAAACACACTAGAAATTTTATTTCATGTCCCAACACAAACTCTTACATTCTTTTTCTATTATCTACAGTGATATTTGGGGACTAGTAAGAACCCTAAGTGGGGCTAAATGATTTGTCTCATTTATTGACGATCACACTAGAACCACTAGGGTATTCCTATTGAAGGGAAAATCTGAAACTGGCCAAATCTTTTGAACCTTCCTTGACATGATTCAACTTAATTCCAATGCAAAATTTGAATCCTCAATACTGATAATGCAAATAATATTTCAACTCTATTATTTGATCCTATATGTCAAAAAATGGAATCATCTATGCAAGTACATGTATTAATATCCCACAATAAAATGGGATATTTGAGAGAAAAAAACATGCATCTTTTTTAGGTATCCCACTCAATTATGATTTCTCATCAAGTTCCAAAACATTATTGGAGGAAAGCAGTTTTTACTACAAGATACGTTATCAATCAAATGCCTAGTTAGATACTTAATTTTGATGAATATATATCCCCACATCAAAGCATTCTCTTCTACTGTACCATTTATAATTTTTGATTGTGTCCTTTTTTCACATCCATTCCCTAAATCGCACAAAACTTGACCCAAAATTCCTCAATTGTATTTTCTTTGAGTATACCTCCAACAAAAAAGGCTATAAGTGCATGCACTTAATGACACCTCACAATGTGCCCCTCTTCCACCTAGTTTTTCTATCACCCAAACATCATTGCATGAAAATATCCCGTTTGAGGATGTCCAACCAACTCAACATGAAGCTCATAACAAATAACTTTGTGTGTATACAAGGGGGAAGAAAAATCTTGAGCAGGTGGAAATAACTTGCAAAGCTAGAGCTGTTCTACCCAAAAACCAAGTCCACAATAACTCGAAATTTCGGATGAGTCTAAAATCCAAGAGTCATCTCTTTCCTCTTCTGGTGCTGATGACAAGGGAAATTGTACTAAATATCTAATTTAGGAGCATGTAGTTAATAGGAAGCTTTCCTCCTTTCATAAAACTTTTACATCTAATTTTGATAGTGTGCAAATTCCTAAATCCATTCATGAAGTTCTTAAAATTTCAGAATTTAGGAAAGCAGTTGAAGAGCAAACTCTTGTGCTAAAGCATAGTAATATATGGATTTTTACTAAGCTTCCTTAGGATAAGAGGTTAGGCGGATGTAAATGTGTATTCAACTTCAAGTATTGAGCTAATGGTGAAATTGAAAGATTCAAAGCTAGACTGGTTGTAAAAGATTTCTCTCAGGCCTATGGGATTAACTTCATGAGATCTTTGCACCAGTGTGAAACTGAAAACTATCAGAGTTCTCTCGACAGCCATTAATAGGGAATGGGGGGTTGCATCAAATTGACATAAAATACCTTACTGAATAGGGATCTTGAATAATAATTGTACATAGAGATACCACTCGGACTTGAGAATGATTCCAGCAAAGACCGAGTATGCAAACTTATGAAGCCACTCTATGGTCTTAAGCAATCACCAAGGGCATGGTTTGAAAGCTTTGCTAAAACTATGAAACCTAATAAATATTTTGATCAAGTTGTTCATATATTGTTCATAAAATGCACTCAGGGAGGTAAGATTGTTGCACTGATAGTATATGCAGATGATATGATTTTTACTGATGATGGTGAAACGAAAATTCTTAAAATCAAAGAAGTGCTTGTCACTAAGTTTAAAATCAAGAACCTAGGAATAATGAGATATTTTCTAGGAATGGAGGTAGCAAGTTCTAAGAAGGGCATTATTATGTCACAGAGGAAATATATTCTAGATTTGCTAAAAGAAAAAATGATGATCGGATGCAAACCTGTTAATACTCCAATGATCCCAGCATGAAGTCTAATATGGGAAAAGAAAGTATATATGTGGATAAGAAAATATATTAAAGATTGATAGAAAAATTCATCCACCTGTCACATATTAGGCAAAATATTGCTTATTATGTTCGTATTGTGAGCCAATATATGAATATCTCATATGAAAAATATTTGGAGATGGTTACAAGATCCTGAGGTTTCTTAAGAGGCTCCTGATTATGGATTATTGTTTGAGAAAACTAGAAACAAAAAGGTAGAAGTCTACACTCATGCAAGTTGGGCTGGGAAACACATTTGCAGATGGTCAACCATAGATTATTGCTTCTATGTATGGTGAAATTTAGTCACGTTGAGAAGTAAGAAGTAAGTTGTTGTCTTCAACAGTGTAAAATTAGATTATAGGGCACTTGCCTTAGAAATTTGTGAAGGAATCTGATTGAAAATTTATTGAAGGAATTGGGGTGTACCTTTAATAGGACTATAGAAATGTTTTGTGACAATCAAGAAACTATTAGTATCGCCAAGGATCAAGTGAGCTATGACATGACCAAACACATTGAAATTGATAGACACTTTATCTTTGAAAAAGTTAACGATGGAGTTATATAACTAAGCTAGATCCCGACACAATAACAAGTCGTTGATGTCTTCACCAAAAGTTCTTCTGTTAATTAACTTCCCACAATTTAATGTCAAGCTTGGTCTCTACAACATTTACAACTCAGCATGAGGGGAAGGGTTGTGGAAATAACAAGAGGATCGGCCCCCTTATTAATTTTATTCTATTCTTATTGGTGTTTATTTCCTAGG